GTCAGTAGATTAGAGATAATAGTACCTACCCCGATGACTGCTGATGTATGGAAAGTACTTAGCACAGTGCCTGGTTCATAGTAGGCCTTTGATGAAGGGTAGCTGGTGGGTGTGGGGGTGTCTCATTATTCCAGGGACCAGCCGTCTTGCTGGGTCTCCTAACGGGCCTTGCACTGGGTCAAACCACTGACTGGGGAGACATCTGGAGGGGGAAAAGGCAGTGCCCCCCGCCCCCTTACCCTATCCCTGCCCCCCAGTTGGAGCAGAAAACCAGCCCTAAGGCCTCTTCTACCACCAGTGCCCAGGTGGGACTGACCCCCGGCTCTCATCTCTTTCCTCTGGCTCCTTGGGTGGGGAATGGTCCCCTTCAGAGTTGTCTGTTATGTTCCCATGATGCTTTGGGGGACTGACCCCTAACACTCACCTTTACTGCCCAACCACAGTTGTGATCCCTCTTCTCCCCTCTTCTCACCCACAGGTAACCTCCGCAGCTACAACCTGGCAACCCCAAACCTGCCAGCCCCCAGCCTTACACCCCCCCAGCTGGCTACCCCAAATCTACAGCAGTTCTTTCCCCAGGCCACTCGCCAGTCCCTGCTGGGCCCCCCTCCTGTTGGGGTCCCCATGAACCCCTCCCAGCTCAACCTCTCAGGGCGGACTCCCCAGAAACAGGCTCGCACCCCCTCTTCCACTACCCCTAGTCGCAAGGTGAGTAGAGCAGGTGTGGATGGGAGGGGAAGAGGGGACACTTGGGCATCAGCCCAGCTCTAGCCACTCTGGCTCACCCTGGATTTTTGGGCAGGTCACACCTCTTTGTGCCTCAGTTTCCTCATCTATAAAGTAGGAGGCTCACTTGTCTAGTTTTCCCCAAACTTCAAACATTCCCATACCCTAGTATGATTTTTGCCATGTCCAAACACTACCAGTACTATTATTTACTTGATATTCCTCTTTAAATCAGCACTGTTGTAATTTAAAATTATTTAGTAACCACATTTTTTAAAAATAAAAAGAAACAGGTGAAATTAATTTTACTAATATGTTTCATTTAACTCAGTATATCAAATATGTTATCATTTTACCATGTAGTGAGTATAAAAATTTATTACTGAGGTATTTTTACAGTCTTTCTTTTTTTGTACTAAGTCTTCAAAATCTAGTGTGTATTATATTTACGGCACATCGGATCATCACAATTTGAACTGGCCACATTTCAAGGACCCAAAAGCCATGCGTGGCCAGCGGCTACTGTTTGTGGTAGCACAGCTTTAAATGAACTAGCTTCTTTTCAGTTACATTTATTTAAAAAGGAAACTTTGTATCACTACGTGAAGTGCAAAAACCAGTGTGACTAGTCATAAATAGAATTAAAAGAAATGAAATTGGGATAGAACAATGTTATAAAATCCTGAACTATACACTGTTGCCAGCTGAAGGTTCTGAGCCTGCAGCCCTCTGGCTCCTGTTAAACAGAGATGAGCTGGTGTTTGAGAGCCTTTCCCTGACATAAGCAGAAAGATTCAGAGACTTGCAAAGGGCATCACCTCCCTTGAGACTGTCCT